GGCGGGGAGGGGGAGGATTACCAGGAAAAGCTCTGTGGCCAAGTTACTTAAAGAAATCACAAGGCCACATTTCATGTCAGTCCTGAGGGAGACGCACAGAGAAAAGGCTTCAGTGGCCCCAATCACATTGCCTTCGCTCTAGCCTGTTGTCCCCGACAAGTGCTGATAAAACGATATCACCGCCTGAAGTTGGCTGTCCGCTGATGACTTGTTCTGATTTCATGCTAGTTTGACTTTCACTCAAGCCCCAGTCATGCTTCCCAGCCTGATTTCCAGAAGGGACCTGCAGGATTCTTCTGTTACTTTTCAGAAGCCGCTCACCTCTTTGCCCGTCTCCTGCAGTGCCCACCACACAACCCCGCCTTGTCACAGGCTCCTTAGGAGCCAGGATCTCTTTTCTGCTTAGTTCAGCAACCAAAGTGTAACCGAAGGTCCACTCTGCTGGGGAGGGGAGAAAGGGAAGGGTCTCGGGGCTGAGAGCTGCGAGAATCCAGTGCACTGCCTTCACTCCATTGCGCCCTGCCTTGCCCACCTTCACAGTAGTTCAGCCTAATGCAAGCCAACGACATTTAAAGCAAATACTAGTACTCACTGTGCATCCTTCACCTGCTTCAGTTCACTCTGCAGTCCTAGTCCGGCCAAACTGGGTTTTCCAAAAGCACCACCACTGTGGCCTGGGCCGGAGAGCATCAGCGCTCATCTTGGGGAAAGAAGTAACAGTTAAGGATCGAGCCACTATTTAGTCACAGATAGCCTGGGACACATTGGTTGATATTCTCTCTTTCCCAAGGGTCATGGGTCCAGTTCCTCAACACAGTAGAAACCTATTTCTCTTTGCTTTTCTTTTATTGTATTTATTCATAGCAAAATACTGTAAAAACTTACACCAGCAGCTCTTAGAATATTTTCAGCTCACTATTGAACATGCATCACTTAGGAGTTTAAATCCTCTTGTGAGGAGAGATCATTTTTTTTTTTTTTTAATTTAAGGTGTCTTAGAAATTTTCAAAACTAGAGATGGATCTTACTATCAGGCAAACAAAAACTATGAACTGTACATTATTTGATAGAAAATATCCTTAAATTTCTCTTTCTAATGTAAATGATAAGTATGGCTGCCAGGAAAAAGGAATCATTTCTCTCCTGGCTGGATAAAAATAGGTCAAGTAATTTAAACCAGTCCATTGCAATTAAAATTCCGACATCGCAACTGTTCCCTCTGTTCTGGGGGGAAAGATAAACAGAGCACGTGAGGATAGGGGTTCGCAGGCTGTCACTTGATGTGCTTCCTATTGTCTTGCTTCACCCTGCCTGGGAGCTCCGATTCGGATGATAGTGGTGCAGAACCAAAAGATAACCACCATCTCTGAAGCTGCTTGTAACACCTCTTTTGTGCTGCACAACAATTCCCTTGGAGAGGAGAAAGTTGCCAATGGCTTGGGTCCTAAATTCCTTGAATTCTAAATTTATTTATTTTTTGGAGACAATGTTATCTGCCAAGTTTATTTTAAAGTAAATTCTGCAGACTCAATTAGACAGTAACACTCATTCTCATTAAACATCCTGTGGTCCTTTTCACAAGATTAGAGCCTGTGGCTTGGTCACATTACAACGCAGATAATCGCCTGCTGCATTCCTACATATTTCCCTCCACCTTTCCAGCCCCGTGCCCCCAAATACATTATTATTTGCCCATATCCCAAATCAGCAGTTGTGCCGTGAGAGCGCAGAGTGTCAGATTTAACTGACAGGCTAGAGCACTGCGTACTGTCCTTTGAAAGAGAAAACCCTTAGCCAATGTGTATTTTAAAATATGAGGCAAATCTCAATTATGCACCTTAAATCACAGGTTAAGGTCTTTGGTAAATAAAATACTCTTATTTTAATAAAGGCTGTTTATTTTGGGATTTTCTTTGATAAACGATTTGTTGCTCAAATAAATATATGCTGTTCGCATCGAGAAAGAAAGTGAAGTCTTCAGAAATGACACAAAAACAAATAATAAAACAAAACAACCCCCCTTGAGCAAACAGCTTTCCTTTGACTTTCTAAATAAATGCCACAAGGGGGCGAACACACCTAATGGTCCGGGGACTGCGAAGTTTATGTTTCGAAGCTGGCCACCCATAATAGATTAGTGGATTAATATTTTGCTCTAAAGGATCTGGCCTTTAATGTTGACATCAATTTATAGCTATCCCAGGCGTTTACAGTAGTAAAAGTCACGGAGACCATAAACTTCACAATAGATGTCAGCCTTCTGGTACTAGTGCTCTAGCCTAGCACCCCATAAACAGAGGTGATTAGGTAACTGTTCTTCAAAGAGCCATCCGTAGCTGTAACATCTTTATCAGCTCTAGCAGGGATACTGCCACCAGGATTTTAGCAGCCACAAGGCAGAGGCACACGTTTTTGTTAATGTGTATTTATTTTTTGGACATGTTTCTATGATGATGTACTGTCGCTTATCATTGATCTCTTCTCAAAAATCAAGCGTGGGGTTGTCTATTTTTGGGCACAGTTTAAAGAACAGAAGCCCTCTTGTACCATATTAGAACTTTTTGAAAAACAGCCAAGGTACAGAGGTCAAATTTCCCCATATGCTCTAAGTAACTTAGTAGGAAGCAAGACCACAAAAGGGTTTGCAAGTGTCTGCCAGAAGCCCAGCGATCTAGGTCACTGTACAGGTTTCATTAATCAGGTAGTTCAAACAAGGAGTTATTTTTCTCTGCCTAAGAGACCTGCAGATATATCACATAGAATCTGCTCAATTGTTGATCAAGAAAGAGTTTTAATGAAATAGAGATCATTCAGGTGAGTGGGAGGGAGGGGGGCGGCTGTATTTGTACTGAAGAGAAATTGTGCTTTGAACCCAGCTCCTCTGTTTGAGTCCTCAGTTCTGGCAGAGATGGGCTCAGGGTCTAATAATAGTTCCTTGGGCTCTGCATCTCCGCATACGTGTCCGCGTTAGAGCAGCAGGAGGAATTTAGTGACAGAGCAGGTGCTGTGGCTTATTCCCTGGCAGAATAAATGGCGAAGGGTGGTGGCCAGACAATTCTTCTGCTTCTTTCTTTATGCAAAAGAACAATGCCTCCAATAGCCTTCCTTTTTTTTTTTCTTCTTCCCCCTGGCACAAGTGAAAAAGAGCTAGAATTGCTGTATTAATATGTATGCAAACATATTTTTTCACTTGAGCCTCTGGAAAAAAAAGAAAAACTTACTGCGAAAATGCTTAGCCAGGGAAGATTTACTGCTGATTGCAGATTTAGTATTGACATGTCTTAGCTGAAGAAAACTTCAGCTTTAACTATTAATGTGGGAAATCTGGATCAGCTTTTAAAATGGGATGGAAAGAGTCTTCAATGACAGTATATTTTCAGAGAGATTATTTATTTAGAACATAATTTTTAATAGAAGTGTCAATTATACATGTATAAAAGAAATCCAGTGGGGTGTGCATCTTAATTTTAATGGCCTGCCTTGGCTATAGAATTATAGAACGTAGGTGATCTGAATTACACTGAAGTTAGCCTTTACACAAGACCCACTGTTATTTAATACTTCTATATAACCTCCTCTAATTAATTATAAAATATGAGCTTGAAGATTGGAATCTGTCTAAATGAAATGCCCTTTGAAAGTAGTGAGATTTTTCTTCAATCTATGTTTCTTTACTCCTTCAGTAGGTTAAATACAAGACTTTTTTTTTTTTTTCTTGAATGTAGGTGTGTTGCTCTTATAAGATAAGCTAGGAAAACATGGGAGGAAAAACAAAAAATTTCTTCTCCAACAGGGATAATTTGAGATTTTAACAATATTACTTTTTCATTTGCTTGATTACATAAAGTAAAACTTGACACCTACTTACTTAACTGTAGTGATGTCTTCTTGATAACCCATTTAGGTAAAATTAAATGATCTTATCCTTAGGTGCTTTGCACCCAATGCCTGTGATAGAAAAGGCTCAGTATTTGGAAAACAGGGCATGCTTGAGAGGTAGCACCTTGTAAAGAATGTAATTTGACCTTTGACTCAACCTCTCTGGGTAAATTTTAAATATTATAGAACAAAATAGAAAGCCTCGAGGTGTAATTCTGCCCCCTTTCCTCTGAGAACTGTAAGCCAGTCAGAAGCTATTTCAGATATTAAGCTAGCAATGTGTGTGCCTCTCCTTAGTACTTCAGCTGAGAAATAAGATTCATCACTAGAAATAGAGATAGATTTCTATATAATGCCATCCTCATCAATCTCCCAGAATATTATTCCCATCTACCTCCACTGAGGTAGTTGAATCAGGTATAGCCAGAAACATTTAATTTTCCCCCTTCCGCACTCTGAAAAATATATCTGTAATATTTAGCATTATAAGCCTTCCTAACTCTGGGGTATACTTGAATTTGATGGCAATTAAGGGGGGCAAAAAGCTCTTAGACAACTTTGCAGCTTTTGATTAAACCACACCAAGAGGCATGTTACAGTGATAACAATGAAGCATTAAGCCAACTATGTTAAATCCTGCTCTCCGCTTAAGCTCATCATGACCTGTTTTTAGTGTCCTGTAATTTACCCTTTGGAATGCTTACTCTCATCAATAAAGTGTTCAACTTACAGAGGAAAAAAAGAAAGCCACCAAAGGGAACCACCCCCCCAAATGACTTGTAGAAAACAAGTTATTTCTTAACTTTTTATTGACATTGGCAAATTAAAATAGAATAAATTAACAAGTATTTTTTCAAAAAAATGTTTTGTACAAAAATACTGTCAAAATTTCCTAAAAAGCTTTCAACACAGTAGTATCTTTTCATGTACTGAATATAACTATTAGCACAGTGTCAAAAATGTTGAAGACAGAAACAAAATAAAAATCTGTGAAATGTTTGCCACTGACGACATTCCACACCCTATTATTGTCTGTACATATGGGGGAGGGGGAAAGCCAACGTGAAAGTGAAGAGTATGACTTTTCCTGATCCAGAATGGCTTGGCCCACATCTGTTTAATCTTCCAGTTTAGCATATTTTAAAAATTAGTCTGTACTCAAATGCATAGTTAAAATAATGAAGCGAGATGGCAGAGTTTGTGCATCTGCCCTTCAAAGTTCATGCAACCGACTAATGCAATTTTTCCTTTCACTCATAAATTTGAATGCAGTTCAGTCATTTGAAACCATCTACAAAATCCACAAGATTAAGCAGTTTGCCAAGATTAATATCTAACAGTTGAGCACTGGAGAAAGTGAGGAAATAAGAAGTAAAAACAAACAACAAAAAAGACCAAGTTAGCTAGATATTTCAACTACATAAGGGAGGTGAATGTCAAGGCTACAAAAACGAAACAAAAACAGGAAAAAAAAAAAAAAAGTGGCAGCAATTTTTTTTTTTTAAACCAATTTGTACAAGTTTATAGTTTACTTTGTTTCCAAGTTCTCGAACCTTTCAAGAGTTGAAAAGTGAGATACTGTGTCTAAGGGAATGTTTTTTTAATTCACACCGAAGAGGTCGGCGGGTTCGACTCCTCTCGCCGGGGGTTTCCATCGAGTCAGCAGCTCACTCTGCTGGGCTGCTGTTTGCACACGAAGTCCGTCACGAAGTCAAACTCGTTCTGCCCCAGCCAGAGTTCCGGCAGCTCCTTGATGCGGTCCAAGCCCATTTCTATCACTAGGGACATGAGCACTTCCTCGTCGATGAAATCAGTGTCTATGACATTGGGCGGCAGCATTGCAGCGGGGACGTG